TTTCCAGATGGCCCTGTAGGCCTTTTCCCTGGGCCCAATGTGTATACCCCCAGGCCTCAGGTATGGTAAAGAGGAAGGTGTTGGGAGAAGATGGATGATGGAATGTCTGGATTGGGGTTTCCACAGGGGCACACTGGATGCCTCAGGGTGCCTGTGGAGTGAGGGCTGAAAGGGAGCAGGTCAGCCCCTCGAATGGGGCTCCCCTTGTGACCACATCTGGAGCAGAACTCCAAGCACTCTGAGAATACTACATCCAGAATACGTAAGGATTCATTCTGAGTTGTGAAGGCACGTTTGCTGAGACAGAAGGGTTTTATAGTCTAGTAGCTTTATAGTCTAGTAGCTTGCTCTGTACATGAAATCTCAAAATATACATTATATAGGTCTCCGTGTGTATTCTTGTCCCAGACCCCCAAAGGTTAGGGTCAGGCCTGTTCTCAATCACTCATTTTTTCCTGCTTTGATATATTTCCATGCAACTGTCAGGGGGAAAATAAGCAGATAACCCTGTGAACAAAGCTCCCTCCCTCCCAGCACCCACTGCCCTGGCTCTCTCCTTCCAGACAATGACTGGTTAAATAACACGGCACTCAGCAGATCAACCCTGAGGGCCTGATGCTCAAAATACAGTGAGGAAGAAGAAACTGTTTCAGCTCCAGTGTGTCTACAACCCACAGCACTTACCACGTCCACGGATCTGGGATGGAGGAGACACGTCCCCACGGTTCAGAAAATGCAGGGCACACTCAGCTGTGTCTTGCGGCGGCGGCTGTGAGGCCAGTCCCTTGAGGGTCTTGACTGGCGCTTCAGGGTTTCTCCACATCGCCAGGAAGGCCCGTATCAACTGGAGCAGCCATCCTCTGTACAGTGAGCGGGGACTATCACACCGGACCCAAGTTACCCAGGGAAAGTGACAGTGCGTCTTCCATCCAGTAGCATGGCCCCAGATATCCACCTTGTTTCTGGAGATTTTCAAGACGATAATGTTTGTGTATCAAACGACAGAGGAGAGCTTAACAAGTAGTATATTGTTCTTTTTCAATCAGGAAGTCTTAACTGGGATCAGGACTCTGGCTGAGGCTGCCCTCCCAGGGAGGCTCCAGCTGCATCAGCCCCGGTTAGGGGAGGCGGTGCAGGAGCAGCAGGGGGCAGCAAGGAGGCCAGAGAGGAAGCACCTGAGAGGGGTCCTGCAGCAGAGGTGAGATTTGCCCCGCAGGGTCTCAGGAATCACTGGGAGGGGACTTGGGAAGCCTCTGCCTCAGCGGGCAACCCAGAACAGGGTGGCTGGTCAGTGTGCATTTACCTTCAGCAATAGGTGCGGGAGCGTGGGTTGCACATGCGGCCATGCACGGAGTCCCTACACATGCTCACACTGCCCCGCCAGTGCTGCCTAGGTGGACACGGAAGAGGATTCTCCCCAGCCCACAGCTTCTGTTGCCTTGAGTGGCCATCCTCCCGCCTTCCTCTCACTCTCCTTGCTGGTATCCTCTGTTGGTGTTCTGCTACTCAGTCCTCCATGACTCTGGCAATGGCCTACAGGGGGTTTATGTTGAGCCCAGAAGACAAATCGAGGGGCGCCTGGGTGGTTCAGTCAGTTAAGCATCTGCCTTTGGCTCAGGTCACGATCCCAGGGCCATGGGATCAAGCCCCACACAGGGCTCCCTGCTTAGGGGGAAGCCTGCTTCTCCCTCTCCCTCTGCTGCTCCCCCTGCATGTTCTCTCTCTGTCAAATAAATAAAATCTTAAAAAAAAAAAAAAGACAAATTGAATGTCTCTCTTCCTATATATGACCTTGTCTCTGTCCTCAGAGCTCAGCACATAATGCACAATAAACAGGTCCTAGAGGACTGACGCTGAAAGAAACACGGAACAAGTGGTTTTAACCAGAACCGAGGGGGTAGGAGAAGCTGAAAAAAATAGCATTTCAGCCAAGATAGGAAGGGTGGGTAGAAGTAAATCAGACAGAGGTGGGTTGCTAGGGGAGAAAAGCAGCTTCCAGGCCCCAGCAGGAGCAATCTGTGTCAAGGCCGTGAGGGAGAAGGGAGCACAGCTGGCCTTTGGAACCTACCGAAGTGAACACTGAACTGGAATGCAGAGTGTTGGGCCAGAGGCAAGGCTGGAGAGATGGATGGGCGGGTCTCCGAAGACCTGGAACCATGTTATGGACACTGGACTTCATTCTAGGAGACACAAGAAGCCACTGAAAGGGTTCAAGTAGAGGGCGTGATCTCAATATGCGTATCTGTATTGTCTATGAGGCCACCAGGAACCACGAAGGGTGACTGGACGGACCGGAGATGGAAGCGGGGAGACAAATAAGGTGATGTGGGAATCTGAGAGACAGAGGAAGGCTGGCATGGGTTATGGCCTGGAGGTGGATGAAGGAGGGGAGGCAAAGATGACTCCCAGGTTTCAGGTTTTGCACAACTAGTGTATAATGGTGGCATTTGCTGATAGGAAAGATGGAGGAAGAGCACATTTTAGAGGATCAGGGAGGATGATGAATTCTCTTTTTGCCATGCTGGGTGTGAGATCCTGTAAGCATCCTGAGTTTACACCTGGGCTGAGGATTTTATATCTGGGTATGCATCTTTGGAAGAAGATCCAGGTTACAGAAGCCATTCTGAAAGTGGTCTGCATTTGATGGTACCTGAGGCTCCATAAGTTGGAGAAACAGCTGGGGAAAGTATAGACTGAGGAGGGCAGAGAGACTTTGACCAAGCACTGAGAACTCTCAGTGTGTAAGGAGCAGGCAGGGAGACCCTAGTTCATCATTAGAATCATCTGGGAAGCTTTAGGAATTGGTATCTGCTGAGGGAGTAGGACCATATAACCGATATTTTGAAAAACCTGCCATAGGCCTAGAACCCACTTGGTAAAAGACAATGACTTTAAAAGGGGACAGGTGGTTAGGAGAGAGGAGAATAAAGGAATGGTGGCCTTCCAGATCCCAAGGGAAGGGCTTCAGAAAGAAGGGTTCAGACAAGATCAGGACTGAGTTTACCAACAGGAAGCCAGATGGTGGTGCATCCACGGACCTGACTCCTTAAAAGTAGGGAATTGGTGTTTGAACTCCAGAAACATTTACCAAGGGATTACAGGAAGGAGCGCAGCAGAGCTTCTGGTGCTCAAAGCTCTCAGAGAAGGGTGCAAAGGGTGGGAGCAGGGGAGGAAGAGGAGAGAAGGGTGCACTAGACGGCAGAAAGCTTTGCACTGGAAGTAGCATTTGAATCAGCAAAGGGGCTGAGAAGTCCTGGGAGAGGAAATAATGAAAGTGAAAGTGTGATGAGTTAGAACTACCTTCAATTTAGGAAACAGACTTAGTCCCTGACTGTAGCACAGTGGATTAAGTGTTGGGAAGGGAGCGAGAGAAGCGGGGTAGAGGGAGTGCAGAGCCCAGTTATCCGCCAAGGTAAAAATTCTTTGGATTTCAAGGTAGAAGGTAAATACGCTATTCAATAGCATAGTCAGATTTGTGATTCAGAAGCCCACTTGTGGCAGCCAGTGTGAAGGATGGCTTGGGGTCAGGGAGGATTAGGAAAAGATGGAAACCCAAACTTCCATCAGGAGGCTGTTGCAGGGATCCAGATGAAGGGGGATGGAGGCGTCAGGGTAGGAGTGAAGGAGAGAAGTGAGCTGAGCGAGTGGGGTACTAGAGAGGGCTGCCTTGGGTCAACACCTACTTTCTGGCTCAGGTGACCCATTGGTTTGAGGTGTCAGTCCCTGAGAAAAAGAACAAGGAAGACTCGATTTAGATGAAGATTGAGTGGCTACTGGGGCGTGGGAGAGGACATTTCAACACTGGTTGGTCATTACTTTCTCCAAAGGAGAAAAGATGTAACATTACTGCTAGTTTCCCTATCTATTCTCTCTCACCTCTAAGTCTTCCTGCAGCCAGTTTCCTTCACATATCCAGATTCATATAGGCACCTTTCCTGTTTTATTTTTATTTTTTTTAAAGATATTTTATTTATTTGTCAGAAAGAAAGAGAGAGAAAGCACACAAGCAGGCAGAGAGGCAGGCAGAGGCAGAGAGAGAGACAGGCTCCCTGCTGAGCAAGGAGCCCGATACGGGACTCGATCCCAGGACCCTAGGATCATGACCTGAGCCGAAGGCAGCGGCTTAACCCACTGAGCCACCCAGGCGTCCCCCTTTCCTGTTTTAAAACACAGTAGCTTCAAGCAGTTACTGCAAGGGACTTGTTCATTTGTTAATTATTTCATTAAGAACCAAATAAAATTTGTTCCGAAGACTTGCAAGGTAGTATCACCCAGAAAAGGTAAGTGAACAAAACATTACCAGCTTCCCTCTCATGGAACTCACGTTCTAACAGGGGCCAAAAAAGACATTAACCTCTTTACAATCCACGCAGTATGTGGCACTAACAAGGGATGGCGGGAGAGGGTGTCCCATCGAAGTTTGTAATTAGGTTTTAGCAGATCTGTGAATTCCCCGAAATCCACACGTAAAATTCTGTCTATACCTGCATACATTTGGTGGGGGCAGGGGAGGGGCTTACATGCTCCGAGGGGTCTGGGACTCCTAAAAGGTTAAGAACCACTCTTCAAGCCCATTTGGACTCCCAGCCAATATACACAAACTTGTTCCGCACGCGAAGGCAGCGACCAAGGGAAAGCCAGCAGCTTGACAGTCTGTTCAATCCACTCAGAACAACACTAACTTTACTCAGACATTAAAAGTGATCAGTTTTCCGACTTAATGTGAGAATGACAACACGGTTATTAATTTTTAAAAGAACCCAGTGTTTGAAAAAAGGTCACGAGATATTCTGTTCCTCAGCCACGGCGGATTTCCTAGCACGTGCCCAGGTTGACAGCGGGACACAGCCTGGCTGACACCCTCCGGTCTCCGCGGATTGGGCTGCTCCGACCTCCGCCTTTTAGAATTGGCCGAAAGAAGTCCGCGAACCCGCTAGGAGTCCAGGCCGGATTTTCGCGCCTGAAGGCGGAAGTAAGGGCGAGCCGGAAGTTCCAAAGCCTGTACCGAGAAAGTGGGGGCGGGGGAGGAGGAAGACTCAGGGTAGGAATGGCGGCTCAAATTCCAATTGTGGCCACTACTTCCACTCCGGGGATAGCTCGGAACAGCAAGAAGAGGCCAGCCAGTCCTTCCCACAACGGCAGCAGCGCTGGCGGTTACAGCGCCAGTAAAAAGAAAAAAGTGTCCGCCGCCGGCTTTACGCAGGTATGCTTAGGCTCGTCTAGTCTGCGCGTGCGCGGGGCTGTGCGGGGCGGAGCGAGGGCGCGTGCGCGGGGCAGAGCGAGGGCGCGTGCGCGGGGCAGGGCGGGGCAGGGCGAGGGTTCCGGGCCTTGAAGTCCCGCTTGGGGTGGGTTCACATCGCTGGCGCAAATGAAACATTTTTTCCCAAGTGTGGACGAGTGGGCTTGGGTTCAGGCACCACCCGCCTTGCATTGTCTTTGAGAGCGGGAGAGGTGGGATGTTATTACCGACTTAGTGCAGTGATCTCCCTTACCGTCGTGTTTAGGTTGAGGCTCAGGACTTTTCTGTGAGTTTCAGTCAAGCTCAAGTCCGCGTGTCTCACTTTGGTCCTTTCTGCAGATCTGTACCGAGTGTCCGTGAGGTGCAGAGCGCCCCAATGTCCTGAAAATGGAAAAATTCCAAGATGTATTGATACCGATGGCGTCCCTCATTCTCAGAAAAGTACTTTGTGGACACTCGGTTTCTCCGTCCCAAAGTGGTTTGGTCTTACTCCGTGGCGTTGGTAAAAGGATTCCATGAGATCATGGTGGGAAGGCACTGAGCACAGTACCTGGCACAGATCTCATGTCATCTGGATAATCTAGGCTCCACAATTCCAGCAAAAGATATTCTGCAGAGGAGTGGTTTGGTTAGATTAGTGTTTCTCTTGGCTCCTACATTTTATTTCACGCAATTAGAGAGCACTGTTCTAAGCACTTTCTAAATGCTATCTCCTTTAATTCTTTTTTAAAAAAGATTTAAGTTATCTATATATCGAACATGGGGCTCGAAATTACAACCCCAAGATCTAGATTCGCCAGCCCCAATGAAGGAGACAACCAGGTACCCCTTTCTCATTCATTATTTTTCATTCTTTTTGTTTTGTTTTGTTTTTTAAATTTATTTGACAGACAGAGATCACAAGTAGGCAGAGAGGCAGGCAGAGAGAGAGGGAGAAGCAGGCTCTCTGCTCAGTGGGGCAGAGAGCCTGATGTGGGACTTGATCCCAGGACCCTGAGATTATGACCTGAGCCAAACCCACTGAGCCACCCAAGCACCTCCATTCATTATTTATTTTTAAGATTTTATTTATTTGTTAGTGAGAGACTGGGAGAGCATGAGTGGGAGGGGCAGAAGAAAAGTGAGAGGCAGACTCCCTGCTAAGCAGGGATTCCCTAGGCAGGGCTGGATCACAGAACCCTGGGATCATGACCCCAGCAGAAGGCAGAGGCTTAAAGCACTGAGCCTCCCAGGCGTCCCACCCTTATGTCATTTAATTCTTAAAATAAACCTCTGTGTTTTGCTTTGTTTTTAAAGATTTATTTGAGAGAGAGAGAGAGAGAGAGAGAAAGAGCACACACAAGTGGGGGGAGGGGCAGAAGGAGAGAGAGAGAATGAGTGCAGAGCTGGATGCAGGACTTGGTACCAGGACCCCGAGATCAGGACCTGAGGCAAAATTAAGAGTCAGATCCTTAACCAACTGAACTACCCAGGTGCCCCTACACTAGCTTTTTAAAAAATATGATAATGTTAGTTTTAGAAGTTCCTTTTTTCTATTTTTCAAAAAAATACTTATTTTGAGGGGGGGAGGGGCAGAGGGAAAGAATCTCAAGCTGACTCCCCTCTGAGCACACAGCTGATGGGGGGCTCATTCTCATGACCCTGGAATCGTGACCTGAGCTGAAATCAGGAGTCTGACTCAACCAACGGAGCCACCCAGGTGCTCCCCCCTTTTTTCTATTTTTAAAATGGACATAAGAATCATCCACTTCTCTCCGGACAACTGTTACGATTTGTCTTTTCTTTGTGGAGATAGTTTTTCATTACTGTCCTCAATGCGTAACATTGTGTGCCCTGCTTTTCACTCAGCGTCATTTCATGGATCTCCCTATGTTGACTGGCTTCCCAAGAAATTGAGTGCTCTTATTTAATTGACTTTATCGAATATTTAGGTTGCTTCTCACAATTCTCTTAAGTCACCCTACTACAACACTGCACTTCTAGATCAGGCTCAGCAACTTTATTCTAGAATACTGTTAGGTCGATGTAACTGGGCATTCGGTTTTCCAGTGATGAGACAAAGACCATTTGTCTCCCTTCTTTGTGACCCCACTGTCCTCACGTCTGAGTCAGTTGTGCAGGTTGCCGTCTGGAGACGCGAAGCTATTTGGTGGGTGGAGGTCTTGCTGACTGCAGTCTCTGTTAGAGGTAGGCCCGGGCTGCTTTGATAGGGCCAGGTTTCTGCTCCCTGGGACTTGTGTCGTCTCTTCTCGAGCTGCAAAGAGGGGACAGCCCTGAATGCTGAGCATTACTTCTCTCCTCTTCATAGGGTATTCGTGTCTCGGGGATAGGCTGGTTCATCTCAGAACGTCTCTTAATGTTAACAGTGGCTGAGTAATGTGGAAACTGTACGTCATTTACAATTTTATTTTCTGGCGTTCCAGCCTCACAGACTTGATCCTCCCTTTCACTGAGGGCCGCTCCCTCTCATCCCGTCGCTAATAGGCAGCAGTCTCAGCATGGCTGAAGCCCAGGGTGCGGGATCATGCAGGGAGGGGTTCAGGAGGAAGGAATGGCACAACACCCAGTTCTGGGCCCAGGATCTTGGATCCTGGTCTGGGAGGGAAGAGTCCTCACTGTTTCACAGGCAGGAGGCAGCTCAGTTCTTGTTGGGATGCCTTCCTTCCTCTGCCCCTTCTTCAGCAAGCATGGCTCCTCACCGGCCCTGCTGACAGGGGAAGGACAGAGGTTGGAGGGACCAAATGAGCAGGAGGGGACCGCTTTGAATCTCAGTGCTGGAGCACATCCTCTCTGTCCCCTTGCTGCCTCTTCTCTGGCACGCTGCCCAGAGTGGCTGTGCAGACTTCTGGCACTCTCTCCCACACCTTCCCCTTCCTCCCAGCAGGTGCACCTGTCTGACAGTGCGTCCTCTCCCCTGGCAGAGGGCCCAGACCTCCCAGCCCACACACACTGGCCGAGGTACCTGCTTCTCTCCGCGGCCTCTGGGGCAGCGCCGCCTCCCCAGTCTCCGCCAGGCCTTGCCGCCTGCCAGCGTTCTCCCATCTCTTCCTGGGGCCTGGGAATGGCCTACATCAAAGAGCACCCAGATTCCTTCCCAGGATTTCACTGTGCGCACAGCATTGGGAGCTTACCCACTAGGCATCAGGGACGGGGCCTCCGGAGAAGGGGAGAGATGCAGTCTTTCTGGCCTTCCTGCACAAGAAGAAAAGCTGAGACTGTCATTTGAGGATGGTGGCTGCCAGTGGGGCACATTCCCTACGTGCTGTCGGGCCTGGAGGCCTGCTTCCCCCATCCCCCGCTGGGATCTTCCCCTTGCATTGTTAGCATTTCCGTTTGCTTATTTTCTCCCAGATGGGAACATTATATAAGCAGTCATTTTCTTTATAAAAAACTGCAACAGTGAAGTTGCAACTTAAATGTGTGTGGCCCTGGGAAACCTCTCCCTTTCTGCCTGTTTCCCCTGAGCTGTCCCTAGCGGTCTGGCTTTTCTCTTCTGACACGATACTCCCTGTGTAGTTCTCAGGCTGTCTTTTCTCTCTCTCACATACTCCAGGCCACCTGTAGGCCAGCCTCCCCACTGCCAGTGCCCATCGGCCTGTCCTCGCTGAGTAGTCCCAGGGCCGCCCTGACGAATCCCTAGATTCCTTGGGGAAGAGACCACTTTGCTGCTTCCGACACTGGCCAGTTTCCTTGGACCTGTTCATCTTGTGTGCCTTCCAGCCAGTGAGCAAGGCTTCCTCCTCCGCCCTTGAACCACAGCCTCTCGGGAGAGCAGGTGGCGGTCACTCTTCCTGACCCGCCTGCCAGCTGTAGCTTCCTCTTGGGGGCCGTGGAGCCCCTGGCTCATTTGCTGTCAGGTTAGCAGCTGGGCGAACCCCAGCGGAGAGGTTTCTCTTGGCCACTGTTAATTATTTACTTTTTTAATGCTCTAAACATTTCAGTGTGAATTTCCTAAAATCAAAGTCATTCTCCTACATAACACCAGTACAGCCGTCAGATTTAGGGATTAACACTGAACCAGCACTGACCCCTAACCACGGATGGCGTTCTTATCTTTGGTCGAGCCCAGGATTCCGGCCAGGATCACACGTTTGTGTTATCATGTGTCTTTAGCTTCCTTTTCTATAGGACAGTTCTCTGGTCTTTATCTTTCACGACCTGACGCTCTTGAAGAGTACTGGTCCCTTATTTTATAGAGTGTTCCTGAATTTGGGCTTGTCTGATATTTCCTATGATCAGATATGGGTAATACATTCTTGGCAGAGGACAGAAGTGACGCTGTCCCCTTCTCAGTGCGTCATATCATAGCACATGGTGGCCTGTGTTCTGCTACCAACAGTGTTCGCTTTGAGCACTCAGTAAGGTGGTGTCTGCCAGGTCTCTCCACTGTGAAGTTATTATTTTCCTGTTCGTATTAAAGAATCCTGTGGGGGGGGATACTTTGAGACTAGCTTTATTCATTCGTCCATAAATGTGTTTGTTTGTAACTGCTTTATTGAGTTATAATTCACATCTCATAAAATGCACCCTCTTAAAATGTGCGCTTCTGTGGTTTGTGGTATATTCCGAGTTGTGTAACCACCCCTACCATCTAATTTTAGAATATTTCCATGACCCCAAAAAGAAACCCTCTACCTATTAGGAGTCACTCCCATTAACCCTTCCTCTGAGGCTGTGACCACCTCTGATCTTTGACTGCTGTAGTTACCTCATGCGAATGGAATCATAGAATATGTGGCCTTTTCTGTCTGCGTTCAATTATCATAATATTTTCTTTCCTTTTTTAAAAAGACTTATTTATTTATTTGAGAGAGAGAGAGCGTGAGGAGGAGCAGGAGGAAAGGGAGAGAAACTCAAGCTGACTCTGCTCTGAGCATGGAGTCCAGTGCAGGGGCTTGATCTCATGACCCTGAGATCATGACCTGAGCTGAAAACAAGAGGTGGACGCTTAACCGACTGTGCCACCCAGATGCCTGTCGGTTAGCGTAGTATTTTCAAGGCTTATCCATGTGGTTGCATGGATTAGTACTTTATTCCCTTCTGTGGTTGAATGCCACTCCATTGTACGGATATACCACACCTGTGTATTCGTCCGTTGATGGCCATGTAGGTTGTTTGTACATCTTAGCTTTCATGGGAAATACTTGTATGAATTTGCACATGTTTTTACAGACTGGTTTTTTTTAATTCTCTGGGATATATATTAGGAGTCGAATTATTGGGTCATATGATAATTCTGTTTAACATTTTGAGGAAACACCAACTATTTTTCGAAGTGACCACACTCTTTTCCTTTCTCACCAGCCATGCATGAGGGTTGTAGTCGCTCTGCATCCTCACTGGCGCGTTATTCAGTGTCTTCGATCATGGCCATCCCTGTGGGTGTGACATGATAGCTCAGTGCGGTTTTGAGGATGCCGAACATCTTTTCTGCTGGCCATAAAAGAGGAAATGTTGATTGGAATCCTTTGCCCTTTTTACAGTGGAATTTACATTGTTGTTGTTGAGTGATAACAATCCTTTATATGTTCTGGATTAGTGTTATTTATTTTGATGCTTAAATTGTTCTCTGCTAGTGGGAACCTCTTCAAACCGCTTCTTTGTGCTTTAATAGACCCCCATCATTTTCTCAGTGCTATTACGTACTGTGGTGAACTGAATTGTTTCCCTTCAAGATCCATATGAAGTCCCCCCCACCCACCGCCCCGTACACCTCAGAACATTACTGTGTTTGGAGATAGGGCTGTTACAGAGGTAATTAAGGTTAAAGGAGGTCAATAAAGTCCAATAGGACTGTTGTCCATATGAGAGGAAGAGACACCAAGGAGGGGAGTATACAAAGGAGAGGCCCTGTGAGGATACAGCAAGAAGACAGCCATCTACAAGCCAATGACCCAGGCGTCAGGAGAAACCAACCCTGCTGATACCTTGATCTGGACTTGTAGTTTCCAGAGCTGTGAGAAAATGCATGTCTGTTGTTTAACCCACCCAGTCTGTGGTATTTTGTCAGGACAGCCCTAGCCAACCAATACAGCTATTTTCTTACTTTCTGAACCACAAGACTCATCCTGTACTTTTCTGCCCCAGCCCTGGAACCAGTTACTTTTTTAAGAATCAGTGGTTCTTGGAGAATCACATTTAGAAACCAGGATCTGAGCCCAGGTGTACCTGTTGTTTCCAGCTGTCTCTGTGGAGAGAGCTAGGAAAGATGGGGGTGTGTGTACCCACCCTCCCCATACTCTCTGTATCGGTTTCTCTGTTTCTCTGCCTGAGCTGTATTAAAGCCTTGAGTACACACTGCGAACCTCTGATTTCAGTCCAGTAGCACAGGCTTCACTCTAGCCTCCCCTTGGTCCTTCCATGCCCCTCTTCAGGATACATATACACTATTTCTGATCCAGTTAGATGTGGGGAACAGAAGGCTGAGCCACACTGTGGGGCAGGGTGTGCACCCGCTCGGAGATGCTCTTTCCTTGTCTGGTCATCTCTCTCTCTCATCTCTCCTTCTTCTGGTCTGTGGTTCCCTGTTTCATAAAGCTGCTGTTTTTTTCCTTGACTAAGACATAAATACAAACTATCCATCATATATCTAATTTATAATAGATACTAGTCAACCCAAAATAACATTGACAACTGACTAAAACTATACACAGTAATGTTGGTTATTGATTAAATGTGATGGTAAAATCAAATTTCCCTCATCAAATTGGGCCTTCTAGGATACATGTACCTGGCAGAAATGCCATGGCAGGAAGGAAAAATTACAAGGGCAGTAAAAGTTAGTTATGTACAAAATGCTAGATCTAATCTTTGTTATAAAATTAAAGCTGACATGAATTAATCCCAATGAAAATAATCTTAGTAAAGTATAAATGAAAATGGGAAAATTGGAAACTATTTGTGCCATATAGAAAATGACTCAGTGGATTTTGTACCAGAAAATACAAAATGCAGTAAGGAGGGATAATGAAAGGTAAGGCTGGAGAGGAGGCCAGATGTGTTTCTCATCTCAAAGTCTGTGGGGCCCACCGGCCTGCTGGAGAGGAGGGGAGCCCCATCAAGCTTGCATTTAAGAGGGCCTCACTGACTGTGCTGGGGAGAAGGGAGTGGGCAAGGTGTGCACCGCAGAGCCCCTCCTCTGAGGGGCAAGCTGAGGAAGGTGCCAGGTAAGGGAGGACTGTGGGAAGGATGGCTGGGGGAGGGAGGGAGGGAGGGAGTGCAAGAGGAAAGAGAGATGCAAGAACACTTGTGGCTGTGGCTGGTGGGAAAAGGTTGAGAAATTGGAGGCCTCTTACTTCTTACAGGGTTGGCATCGAGCTGGGCTTTGGAAAGATCATGGGGTGGGGGGAGTTGAGGGGCATGTCAGACAAAAGAGGTGGTGTGGACCAAGGAGGCGCCCAGGCCCACGTGCAGAGACTGGCAAAACCTTTGGGAAGGTGTCTGAGAGGAGACCATTTGGAGAACTACGCATCAGAGTGGGTGCCCCCTGCGCCCCCCACAAATGTCACTGCAGGGGTGGGGATGGGGGTGATGGACACACACATCCAGCACACTCATACACTGCTGCTGGGAGTGTCAAATCGGGCCACCGTTTAGGAAAACGAGTTGGCAGTTTCTTTCAGTGTTAAATACACTTACTGTGTCATGCAGCCATTCCGCTCCTAGGTGTTTACCCTAGAGAAGTGTAAACACAGGTCCACACAAAGCCTGGTATGGAGTGTTCACAGCAGCGTTATTTATACTAGCTGAAGCCTGAAAATGGCCCACATGTTCATCAACAGCAAGTGGATAAACACGTGGTACATCCATCCGTATGGGGGATGCCTCTCTGCTGAACATACACAGATACAGCGAAACAAATTACTGACCTCTGCGGCAACACGAGAGATCTTCAAAACTCTGCTGCACTAAAGAAGCCAAACACGAGTACATGTCGTCAGATTCCCTTTATATGAAGTTGTAAAAGGGGCAAAAGTGGGGTGGGAGTAACCACAATAGCGACCGCCCTGAGGGTGGAAGGTACTGGCTAGGAAGGGAATGAGGGAACTTTCTGGGATGACGAAATGTTCTGTAATCCATAGGGACACGGATTAAACAAGTGTAAAGATTTGGCAAAACTCACGAAACCTACACTTAAGATCTGTGCATTATATATCAAAATTATATATCAAATTATATATTTGTAAATTATATATCAAAAATAATTCATTGCAGTTTGGGAATACTGGAAATTACATTAAAAAATCAGAAGCCATTTCTTACTTTGGCTTGTTTTTTCTTGGTGATGGTGAGCTTGAAAGGTTTTTTTGTTTTAAAGAGTTTAGCCTGGGGCGCCTGGGTGGCTCAGTGGGTTAAGCCGCTGCCTTTGGCTCAGGTCATGATCTCAGGGTCCTGGGATCGAGTCCCGCATCGGGCTCTCTGCTCAGCCAAGAGCCTGCTTCCCTCTCTCTCTCTCTCTGTCTGCCTCTCTGCCTACTTGTGATCTCTGTCAAATAAATAAATAAAATATTAAAAAAAAAAATAAAGAGTTTAGCCTGCTATTGGGGGCGTTCTGGCGGCAGGCGGCTGACCTGTATCTACCCAGCCCCCTCTTCCTCTGCTCTCCTCCTTCAAAATGCCTGTTATCTCCTTGCTCTGCTGGCGCAGAAGAGTTGTAGCCTGGGTTCTCTGACTGATGACACCCTTACAGGGGCTGGCCCCTTTTTGTCTCAGTGTTTTAAGGCACAGTGTGACAAGGTCAATAGGAGTAGGGACACTGTGGTGTTGTGGAGTTGGTGAGGGCTTTGGAATTGGCTCCACCTGGGTTTGAATCCAGAGGTCATCACTGTGTGGTCTTGAACCCATACCTCTGAGCCTCAATTTTCTCTTCTGAAAACTGGGGATAACAGCCGTTGTCAGAGTTCAGTGAGCTGGCTCATGGGGGACAGCCATCCCTCCTACTTGGCACATGGGGGATCCAGGAAGCCTGGCAGCTGGGGTCCTGGCTCTCCTTCCCATGGCTTCCACACAACAGGTGTTGCTCCCAATCTGGCATGCCCTTCTCTGGTGCAGGCCACCTGCTAGGGCTCTGGGGCACTGTCTTCCTTCACATCCCCTGTGGCGTCATCTTTGGTCTTGTTAGGAGCAGCGTTAGGGACCTCACCAAGAAAAAAACTGACCTCAGACTATCATTATGCTTTAAGGGTATCAGCATGGAAGCCATGAGCGAGAATAAGATGGTGCCCTCTGACTTCAGCGCGGGACCTATGGAAAAAGCTGCCAAGCCATTGCCATTTAAGGATCCAAACTTTGTGGTAAGCTTCTAAGGTATTTTAGAAATGAAAAAAAAAACAAAAAGCAAAAACAAACAGCCACACCCCAGCCTCTGATCCTGCTGGGCCGGCAGCCGGGGTGGCCCTGGTGGCCCTTTCTCAGTCAGTTCAAGTCACCACCACCTTTGCCAGGGGCTGTTAGGAGAGGCTGTGGCAGGAGGAGGGCCCTACCCATTGCTCACCCAGTGGGCTGGTTCCCCAGGATTTAGGTGCTCCTCGTGGAACTGATCAAAGGATACTCTTCTGAGGGTGGGTCATTTCCATGATTGTTCACCATCCCTTTTCACTGGGCTTACGTAAGTTTTCATTGAAAACAACTAACTAAAAGAGGCTTTCTCCTCATTAGTTTAAGTAAATCTAACTTATGTTGCTGTAAAGGAGGAATAGGCTACTCTTCCTTTCATTCTTGAGAGCTATAATAATTCCAGAGATTGAGATGATATCATTAGAAGTTTGTTTTTCATTAGTTTTAAAAATACAGTATTACCAGTGCCTACAGCAGATTTTGGTGTTCTTTTCCATTTTATTTTATCATTTTTATAGAACAAGAAAGAAAACAAATTTCCAGAGGGCTTGCCATGTCATGATTGAGGCTTTCTTGGGTTTACCAGCATCTCCAGTGACTTGCCAGGCAGTGAGTGACCTGCCCTAAAGCTGACTTTGTAATAAATTTATTTTAATGTGATGGAGGATTCATGAGTGAATTCTCTAAAGTTATCCCAAAAAGGATGTGATTTTTCTATGAGCATATAAAAACAGACAATAACAACAAAAAAAACAAAAAAACTCTTTTATTTCTACTCCATGACCAACTACTTCATGGGTTTTGATAATCCAAAAGCTTTGTGTTTTTATCAGTAAGATTAACGTGTACAGTGTAATACTTAAAAACAAACAAACAAACAAACAAACCCAGCCCTTAGGGGTACAAATGAGCTGACAGAACGAGGGGCGTGTTACTGTTAGGGATGCGCGTCATTCCGATCCTGAAATGATGGCCTCCACTGATTCCTGTCGCTTCCACCCCCATCTTTCACTCCAGCACTCTGGCCACGGTGGCGCAGTCGCCGGCAAGAAGAACAGAACCTGGAAGAACCTGAAACAGATCCTCGCCTCTGAAAGGGCATTGCCGTGGCAACTGAACGATCCCAACTGTGAGCTGTCTAGAGCCTTCTGTGTGTCGATGATGCTCAGAGTAGGAACTTGTAACAAACCTGCGTGTTTGTGTTAGTGTAGGAAGCGACCCGTAGCTCCAGGGTTGGCGAGGTGCGTCAGCCTCGGGAGACGCCGTGCATGGAGTTGGGTGCTGAACCCTTCTGTGCGACAGGGGTGTGTGCTTGTTCGTGGTGCTGTGACATTTCAGTCTGGAGAAGTTGGTCCTGATGTGCTAATCCTGGTGTTTCTGTCAGACAAACTTCTTTTCAGGAATCTACTCTTAAAATGTGTTTCCAGAACAGGGTTTCCCAAGATTTCAGAGGGTTTCTAACCACCATCTTAAAGGCTAACTCTGTTTTACTCTGTGCCATCATTAGAGTGCTTTCTGCTGCAGTGTTTTCACATCTGTGTGAAGCACTGTTCTGTGTTCTGTTCGTCCTCCCTGGAAAGTACAGTCAAAGTTTCCCTCACCTCCTGTCCCACAGCACATCTTTCATGGGGTGACTCAGATGGGTGACCAGTGAGCTAGTCAGGGTCTGGGTGTGGACACTCCAGTGTCCCGATGCTCTGATCCCATTAGAGGGTTGTTGGGTTTCGCCCACAGCCTGTGTAGCCTGCGATGGTGAGAGTGGCCTGTGGGCAGAGGAGCTTTCCGGGGGTTCCGCCAGAGCAGAGGGGCCCCAGGGACGGGGCAGAGCTCAAGCCTGTGCCTGGTCTGCGACATAGTGCATCACTCCCCCGGAGAAGTGTCTGAGGACTTAATCACCGCATCAAAATTTCAGAAATATTATGAGACAGCACTTTCAGAAAAAGAAGGAGAGGGATCTGAATATTTTAAAGCCAGCTTAGTTATCTTCTTTCTTTTTTTTTCCCCCAGACTTCAGTATTGATGCTCCTCCCTCCTTTAAACCAGCTAAGAAGTATTCTGATGTTTCAGGTCTTCTTGTGAGTATAAATCCATCTCTGGGTCTCATAGCATTGAGCTGGAAGGGAGATTTCATAATACTGTCGAAGGAAGTGTTGATGGGGCTGCCCCTGACCCTGCCGGGAGCCTGCGCACTTCGACAGGTCCTGGGTTTGTGCTGAAGAGCTCACACGCTTATCTCAGAGTGGCTGCAGCCTGGGGCCTCCATGCAGGCAGCCTGGAGGGAAGACTGCTCCAGAAAGTAGGAGACCCAGCTCTCACCTCCCCTTCCTCTGCTTGTTAACACATGAGATAACATGAAAGAAACAACAATTTCTTTTTTAACTGCTGAAATTTAAAAAATTTCTTATATTTTGGAGATGATTGTACTTTTAAAAATGTAGTTAAGCTAAAATGGGGCACTTCACTTTTTAAAACTCATACATATCATTTAAATGCTTTACATTTTTGTGAAAATGGATGACTCCAAACTTCTGTGCCAGACTGACTAAACCAACGATACGCGTTTTGTGCTGGGAAAGAGTTGAGTTCTTTTATACTTTTGAAAATACTGTTAGTTATTGTCTCTGAATCAGTTGTATGTTGTAGCTTCTCCTCCGCAGAGCACACATTCCTCTATGTACTACAAACCTTTTTTTTTTTTTTTTTTTAAAGTAGGCTCCATGCCCAGTGTGGAGCTCAACATGGGGCTTGAACCCACAATCCTGAGATCAAGACCTGAGCTGAGATTGAGAGTCGGACACTTAGCCGACTGAGCCAGCCAGGTGCCCCGAACTACAAACTTCTTAACATAGACCCTTAAGTACAGTGATCGTAAAAAACAACAGGCAGAATAGAGGTGCTGTAACATGGCGTGCGTGTGCATGTGTATGTGTTGTGTGTGTGTGTGCGTGCGAGCGTGCATGCATGGTGGGTTCTTCTGCTGTCCATTCAGGGCACGTATCTCCTAACCTCGGAGGGTACTTCACCTGCACGAGCAATGTTGTGGTCTTACACGATCTCTTGTTTCCTGCCTGAAAATAGTCACCTCATCGATTTGACCCATTTTAATAACTGTTTATGGCAGGAGAGCTAGTGTGGGAGCAGCTCTTCCATTCCAGCCCCAGATGGGCATTTCTCCATGGAGAGGCCATCGCTTAGGGGCAGACCTAGTGGGTGGTCCCTTAGAAGGTCGCTTTGTCCTCGCCGCTCAGCAGCTCATCTGTTAGTGCGGTAGCTTGCACACATTAGGAGGCATGAGAATCACTTTGAGAAGCGTCGTTCCAGGCCCTTTATGCTACAGGCAAGGCCTTGTCATGTCATACATAACCTAAAACCTCTGGCTCCTTGGATCTGCAAAGAACCCTACCAGATCATCGAAAGGCAGACCCACAGGACTGGCTAGAAGGATGTGAAGACAGTTACAAGGAGGACATACAGACGATCAGTAGATCTCCAGTCTCCCTGATAATTAGGGAAAGGGCTCACCAGCGGGGGAGAAATGAAGATGTTTGATTATAAACATCACCAACACAGAGAAGCAAATCTCCTCAATACACGGCCCTTTGGAGGTGGGAATACATTAGTCTGGATTCTCGGGAGGACATTTGGCAGCACCTGTTGAGACAGAAAAGCTAAAGCTTATGACTTAGCAGTTTGCCTTCCAGGCAGCTCCCTAGAGAAAGTGTGTGTACACGGAGTTTCGTGCAGAAATAATTATGAGAAAATGGGGTTATGAGCCAAGTATTGGGAACACAATAAAGGTCAGTCAACCAGGGCTTGGGGTGGAGATGATTTCATACTAGTCTGTGAGCTTGATGTGTTTGTAACGACAGGGATAAACTTCTAGATGTGTCGTTTACTCAAACGTGCAAAGCAGCGTAAGCAGCATGCTACCATTTAAGCAAAAACCAACACACACTCACAAAAAAATAGTGGGTAATTTCCCTGGTGTGTTTATATATGTAAGGGTGGATACAAACAAGGTCTGGAAGGGTGCCCAGGGACAGTGGTTTCCTCAGGGAAAGGTAGGGACTTTTGGATGGTAGATGCTTGGAAAAGAGGATTTGAGTCTTATTCATAATGTTTTCTTTCTTTTTTTTTTTTAAGAGGAGAATATATCCATTTGTTGACTTGGGTATATTAAAGTTGCATCATTAAAAAATATAGCCCCACTCATGTTTACATGGACACATCTGTTCGCACCAAACAGCTGTCTGCAGTGCGTGGGCAAGGCAGGAAGCCACGTGGGGTCACACGTGTGGGCAGTCCTTGTTCCAAAGCTCTGGAAAGAGCCGTGGCTCTGGGTGAGATGGGCAGAGCAGTGAGCGCCGCCTGTCACTTTGCGGCGCAGAAATGGAGCCAGGCCGGAGCTGGTGCTTCTCTGGAGGCCAGATATGGAAGCTAGCTGCGCGGGCCTGCCCACTCCCACTCCCCCTGCGGCCACAGGGGAGCCTCTCCTCCCGTCCACGCCTCTGCCTGCCTCCTGGCCAGTCCTCCAGAGGGGCTTCTTGCTGTTTTTCTGTGGAAGCCTTCCTACATATTACTGTCATTAAAATGTGGGACAGAAAGGCAAGATCTAGATGAAGCCAAAGGATCAAGGTTTTATTTTATGGAGAGTTTTAATTAATCTGGAGGACTAATCTCCTTTTCCTGCCACGCAGATGTTAACTACCTTAGGGAGATCCCCTGAGGCAGAATTGGGACTTTGGAGAGTGTGAGAACCCTGTAACTAAGTTCCCCTCCGCTGTTGCTTCTTCAGCCTCCCTGCCCTTCGTCGGTGACACAGCACTGCCACCCGGCGGGGTCCGCACACAGGCCATCAGCAAGGCAGTAACTGGACGTTATCCGTCTAGACTTTAATGGCATCTTGTATAATTTTTTAAAGGAGTTCCAAATGACTCACCCTCATGTTTTCTGTTTCAAAGTCTGTAGAAGCCGTATGACTTGAGGTATATAGTAAATGAGTTTATTTTCTCCATTTTGCACGTAGGGAACACAGACCAAAAGAGAGTTTTGATGTCAGTGAGAAAAGAGAAGTCTCTTTTCCGTGATGGTCTTGATCATCCATTGGTTCATTCGTTCGTGTGTTTACTCATTCCTCACTCATTGCACAAACATTCCCTGAAGGCCACGGCGCACTCTGCACTGCACTCGGAGCAGGGATGCCGTGATAAGCAAACCATGGGGTTCCTGCCCCGTGGAGCCGCTCAGCCTAGACCTTACTCAGAGTCATGCCACTAATAAACGGGAAAGCAAGAGAGAGAAGCATTCTACAGGAGACAGATTTGGGAGAGCGGGGGAGCAGATAAGACTTCCCTGATGAGATGCCTGGGGGCTGAGTCTGAAGGATGAGCCCACGACTGGGGAGCAGAGCGGCCCCTCCCCAGGGAAGGGCGAGTGGGGCGTGAATGCCAGGAGGGACTGAGAGCCAGGGCAGTTGGAACCAGGGTGGGGACATGTGGCTGAGGAAGAGGCTTGGGAAGGTGGAGGGCCCAGGCTGGCTTGCAGGATCTGAGAAGCCATGCTGAGGACTTGAGAGGAGCTCCTGGGAGATTTCAAGCCAAGGGAAGACGCAATCAGAAGTGCAAGTTGTGGAAATGACCTTGGTTGCCATTGTGGGGTGGCGGTCCCTTCCAGTGGGAGGGTGGGAGTGGGTGGCCCATCAGTACTGCGGTGTAGCCCAGGGAGCCTGGGAGTGGCATGGGGAGGGCATAGAGCAGGAGAGAGCACTTGGAGCATGTGGGGTGTAGGGGTGTAACAGGGAGGGGTGGGTGTGCCTGGGCAGCCCCTACTCCTGCCTTGGGGGACAGAGCCAAAACATCTGTTGGAAGCAGGTGGGAGTCTGAAGGCGGGGGCCAGGGAGGGACGATCATCAGGAATTCCATTTTGGACCTGTTGCTCGGAGCCCTTGCAGTGTCCACCGTTCTGACCGGTCCTGGTGTCTGATGTGGTTACTCCTCTTCCTCCCGTCTATACCCTGAAGTATTTCTCAAGTCTGGAAAGATTAACAAGTCGTTGCCAAAGTAGGCAATTTGTATTCTTCATGACAGAGTAAGACAAAATGCAGATATTTCACTTTAGGTAAAATAGAAAAATTTGTAAACTTGGACTTCAAACATTCACCATGACCACCAGTGTTCTGCCTTTCCCTGTGCTGGTTTCCCACCCAGGCCAACTACACTGACCCCCAGAGCAAGCTGCGGTTCAGCACCATCGAAGAGTTTTCCTACATCCGGAGGCTGCCCTCCGACGTCGTCACTGGCTACCTGGCCCTGAGAAAGGCCACGAGCATCGTTCCCTGAGCCTGGAGAAGTGGGGAGGCGGTGGAAAGCTGTTTCAAAGGCAAACTTTGGACTCATGATTTTGTTTCATGGAAACAAACTCATTCTGCTGTCAATCTGGAAATGTCAGTGCTGTGCCTTGGAAAGAATGTTTGGCTTAAATTTCAGGGTTTTTTTTTTTTTTTCTTTTCTATGTTTTCCCTCCAAGTGTGATATTTCCTGTTGAATTAAATTATATTTCAGTTGTTGCCTCAAGTAAAGTTGTTTGACAAGAAAATATAAAACTGTGCTTTTAACTTAACCCATGTAGTTTTTGCTTCAACGTTATAGACGCTCCTATAACACATTTCAAGACTCTATAATGAATCCTGACATCAGGGCTAGATTATTCCTGGTCCTGGTGACTCCCACTTTAGAGCAGATTAGATTTTTTTTTTTTTTTTTTTAATCAGAATACTTGGAGGAGGTCCAAAATTGGGGACTGGCAAAGAAAGAGCAGAGTACTCTCCCTGCTGCACCAGGCCAGCCTCTCCCCAGCCTCCAGAACTCTCTCCAGAGAGGAATATGTGTCTGTTATGTAAGCTGCCCAGTCTGGCATTTTGTGTGGCTGCTTTAGCTGGCTGAAACAGCAGCCCTAGCCCCACTTCCGGGGTGCGAACACTGACACCTGTTCCGAGAAGGGCTCTTGTCCTGGTATAGGCTGCTGCCCCTTTGACCGAAGCCTGCTCGGGAACAGCAGTGTTGGCTTCCCCTTTTCATAGGGGGGAGAGCGGGGGAGAGTGTGGAGACACGGCCTGGGCCTTTCTGAGCCCACTCCCGTATTTCTCTAGGGAGGGCCGTGGGCCTGAGCTGCCTCTGCTTTAGGGGATTAGACCAGGTGCCGGCCTTTTCGTTCTGAGGGAACGCCCCTTGTGCAACCTCTCCTGGCTTAGAGGAAAGAAAAACAAAGCTGGGAGAGCAGCCCGCTGAGCAGGTGGCAGCTGCCCGGAACCTGGCAGCCTCTGTGTCACCCCAGTCACCGGTGGTGAAGGCGGGAGGAGTGCAGGGTGGGTCCCCTCCCACAGAAAAGGACTAAGGGAGGACCAGGAGAGGGGGGGAACCTTTCTTAAGCCCATGCACACTGAACATCTGAGGCTCTGGTGCAGGAATCCTCAAGCCTGAAACCGAAGTTTCCTGCGACACCAGAGTCTGCCTCTTGGGCTCCCACACTTACTCCTGCGCTGGCTGCCAACAGTCAGCCTCGGAAAATCCCCCAGTTTCCCTTTTGGTGGAAATAAGGAGTAAGTGAGCCAAGGGCCCTTCCTGTTTCACTTCCACCTCCTATTATACAAAGAAAATTGGGAGCAGGTCCACCTCTTTTCCATGAAGGCCCCCAGTTGGATAGTGCTCCACTATCCAACTTCAACCATTCCTAGAAATGGAAGTCATGATCGTTCCTAACACTTACTGCTGGGCGCTACCTCAGTCCTAACTGTTCAGACTCTCCTGGCCAGGGTCCAGGATGAAGAAGAATCCCTTGCCCGTGTGCATCCCTCATGGGGGCCCACAGACCATTGGTCCCGCAGACTTCTCGGGCCTTCTGGGGTGTGTGCAGGCCTGCGCATGCGTGCTGAGCGCCCTCTGTCAGGGTTACCTGGGACCCACTAAAAAGCAGATTCCTGGGCCACACCCTAGACTTCAGACCCTAGCAGGGAGCAGGACTCAGGCATCTGCATTGGACAAACATCCCCTTGTGAACGTGACATGTCAGAGTGTGAGAACCGCCACCCACCACAGGCAGAGGGAAGCACATGTGCGGACACCTGGCTCCCTTCTTTCCTGTTCCCCTGCCAGACTTCCCTTGCCGGCCTCTGAGCAGAGGGCTGAATTCCAAAGGTCAGGTCGGTTCAGTCCAAGCAACAGGGAACCAGACTGAGCCAAGCTAAGCTTCAAGCTGTGGACACTTCCAACAAGGGGTCCAGGCAGGTAATTTTGTGCTGAAAGAGCCATTGCTATCCATGCCTGGCCCACAGCCTCTCAGCCCGGGCTGCACATCAGCACCTCTCTGTTGCTGATGGGGGTGCTGGTGGGGAGAGGTGTAAAAGTACCCAGGGATTCTGACTCAGCTGCCTTAAACTGGGGCCTGGGCACAGTATTTTCAAACGCCCCAGGCGATTCTAATGTGCAGCCAGAGTTGAGGACTCTTGTTGCTCTAACTACAGAGTGGATATTTCACATGGGGTGTTTTCTAAGCCACAGATCCAGCTGGCTCTTTCCATTGCAGGGCCATGGGCAATTTGGAAGGGGATTCTGTGTGTGTGTGTGTGTGTGCACACACACGTGTGCGTGCAGCACTCTGTTTCACACAGCAACCCAGCACTGGAGATTCCTCCCTCCTGCCTCTTTACTGCCCACTCCGTCCATCCTCATATCCCTTCTTCTGCTGTACTGATCCTTCCCCTCTGTCTGGTCTCATTCCCACCTGACTCCAGGAGCATATCACCTCCTACCTGGACATTTTCAGTGTCCTTCTAACTGCCCTTTCAAATGGTCTGATCCCCATCACTCTGCTGTCCCCCCTGCTGGCAGAGGGTCCTTCCTCAACTTTGGATGAGAACTTGACCTCACGGCATGTCCACAGCTGCTTTGTTGAGACAACAAAAGATATACCTTATCAATTCTGGCCTTGGCCTATAGTATCCAAAGGATACACTCAGCCCCTTAAAAAAAAAAAAAAATTAGCTGAAAAATCAGATTGTTTTCATAAGACCAAACTGAAGTCCGGTCTGCTCTGAGTGGAGTTTGACTCTTTCCCAGTGTCTGTCTGATACTTTAAGAGGAGAAGAATCTCTTATTGCATATATATTAGAATCTCTTGTAATGTTGGGACAAATGCCCTCCAGGGCTCATGTGGATGAGAGGGACCCATTTTGCTCCCATCTCCCAAGTTACAGCATACATCCATTATAATTGGCCCAAAAGTGTCTTCAGTGAGAAATCTCTCATTTCTGAATCCATGGCCATTAGAAAGAGATATCGGACTCTGCATGCTGCTATCAGTGACCTGTAACTCAGTGGGGAGTGCTTAACTTAGTAAAAATAAAGGGTAACAAAAGAAATGGTTGGAGTAGGGAGTAAAGAACTTGCCCAAATAGGTCAGGTGCCGTGGGAAGAGACTGAGAATGATGTCCTCTTCCAAAAGTGTGAAATAATAACTATTACTTAAAATAATAGGGGTGCCTGGGTGGCTCAGTGGGTTAAAGCCTCTGCCTTCGGCTCAGGTCATGATCCCAGGGTCCTAGAATCCAGTCCACATTGGGCTCCCTGCTCAGCAGGGAGCCTGCTTCCTCCTCTCTCTCTGCCTGCCTCTCTGCCTACTTGTGATCTCTCTGTGAAATAAATAAATAAAACCTTTAAAAAGAATAATGTTCTCTCTGATAGGAATGTATAGGTCTTATTTGGATACTGATTCAAACAAAAAAGACTTAAAATATTTTTGAGACAATTGGACATTTGATGATTCTTAGGAACTCTTATAAATAGTTGTGATAATGGTCTTATAACATTAAAAGGAAGGACTGGTATCTTTTAGAGACACGTACTGAAATATTTATGGATGGAAGGATATGATTTCTGGGATTTGCTGTGGGAATGTATGGGAGAGAGGAAGTGGAGGGGAGCAGTGTTGAAATAAGATTGGCCATGAGTCAGTAACCATTAAAGCTGAGTGATGGGTGTGCGGAGGTTCATTATACTATTCTGATTTCTCCGTAATAAAATGCTTTTTAAAAGAATATAATGCTTTGGAGCACCTGGGTGGCTCAGTTGATTAAGTGTCTGACTCTTGACCTCAGCTCGGGTCTTAATCTCAGGGTTTTGAGTTCAAGCCTCATATTGGGCTCCATGTTGGGAATGGAGCCTACTTTAAAAAAAAAAAAAAAGATTATGGTATTTTTAATACTAAAAATTTAAATACATTTTTACCTAAAATTGGTGGTCTGCTTTAGCTTGGCGTTGTAGGTGCTGGCAGTTTGAGAACCGCTGCCTGAACAGCATGAGGTCTTGAAGAGAGGGAATACCCAATTCCTAAAACCTGGCACAAAGGACGCATGGGAGGAAAAGAGCCACAGGGCAGGTGAAGTTGTCCTTTAGTGTGCTCTGTGATCCCAGAGCACTATAAGAGTAGTTCCTGATGTAGGCAAGGGAATGGAGAGACGGGAGATCTCAGCTTCAGGTTTCTCTGGTGTAGAATTTGGTACTAGAGCAGGCTTGGGATGCATTAGAACAACTCACGATGGTCTGAGAAAATACCAGTTGATCTTGGGCCCGGAGACACAGGCCTACAAAAGTGTGATGCAGGGATACCCCCGTGGGACCCCACTGACATGCAGGGTGAACTTCCTCTTGAGGCACCCACACATGGAGCCTGATAACCTCGGTCTGAATCTCATTTCTGTAATTGACTAACTCTCTGGTCTTGGGCAAATTACTATCTTACTCTCAAACTGTCAAGTTTTCTAATCTGTGAAATGAGCATCATAACTATATCTACCCCACAAGATTGCCAGGATAGAATGAGGAAATGTCACAAGAGCATTTAACTCAAGAGTCTGGCTCAAGTGCCGGCAAGCGTGAGCTGTGACCACTCACCTCCCTCTGGACTCTGCTTTAGAACGGCAGGTGTTCTCCTAACTCACCAATGTACTCCTGCCCAACTTTTTTCTCTGTTGTTTTTAAATTTATTCTTTGTTCTCTTTTCTTAGGCTTCCAGGACTCTTAGATCCATGCTTGCAGCCCCCCTGTAGTAATAGAACAACATTACAGGATAGATGTTTCCGTGTGCTCATCTTACTACTGGCTCTATCAACTGGTTTCTTTGTCTTCTTCATGGCTTATCTTGGACATTTATTCCATCTTCTGTGTGTCTTTATAAGCTGGTTCAATTTTTTTTTTTTTTTTTTTTTTTGATGGTGCAAGGGAAGGAGTAAATACCTAGCTAAATAAATAAGCCACCTGTGATGGAGGCCAGGGGAAGAAAGGAGTCACAGGGGTAGAAGGAGAGGACTCTGATCAATGAGCACCCCTGGAGTAACAGGGAGAGGAGATACAACTCACTGGGCCTCTTCAAAATCATTGCTGCTTGGGGCGCCTGGGTGGCTCAGTTGTTAAGCGTCTGCCTTCGGCTCAGGTCATGACCCCAGGGTCCTGGGATCCAGACCTGCATCAGGCTTCCTGCTCAGCAGAAGTCTGCTTCTCTCTCTGCCTGTCACTCCCC